CAGTCCCAGCTCTTTAGGGCTTCGAGCACCCGCCCGTCGGCGACGCTTAGAGGCTGGCGGGACGCCGCGGTCCAGCGCGGCAAGCAGGCGAAGCTCGGCAATGTTCGGCTCCTTCCACGAGGGGGCGGAAGAGCACTAGCCTCGCAGCGCCCTTCGTCTCCACTCGGCTGGGGGTCCATTCAGCCGGGGGCACAGGATCGATTAGGTCTGGGTGGTCATTCTCCCCGTCTTTGCTCGCATTTACTTTGTCCAGGGGACTAGGGTTGGGCGGAGGGAGGGAGAGTTAGGCGACAAGAAGGGACTTCCCTCTGAACCTGGGATTCCTTCCTGGGGTGAGAAATCCGCGGGCTTTGGGAACCAGGGAAATGAGTGGGACAAAGAGGGGGGGTCTGAGCCCTGGGAGCCCAGGATTTCTTTCTTATTAACCTAGATGCTATTATCTGTATTTAGAGGTGAATTTTTTAGTGAACATTAATATAAAAGTTAGATGCACTGAACAGACAGAAGAGGAAAGGGAGGGCCTCAGGGTAACAGAAGGGAGAGAGGGCAGAAGGGGCTGATAACCCCAATTTAAGTCCCTCAGCTGGGACATAGGCACGGGTAACACCCTCGTATTTTGTTTGGGGAGACGAGGTTCATTTGGAGAACGGGGGCCAGAGCTGAGTCTAGCTGCCAAGCAGGACTTGCATTTGGGCTCAGGAATGTCTTACCGTTGCCCAGAGTAGCCATGACTGGCCATAATCCGTGAGGCTGCATATAGAGACCTGGGGCCCTCCTCTTCAGAACTGAGGATGTCTTTTTTGGGGGTGCAGGAAAGAACTGCTGAGACATTGGGAATGGGGAACTAGGGATTGGAGTTGGTATGGTGGATTCTGCAAATGAGGGTTACTTTGGTCTCTCCCCAGTTGGAGGTGGGAGTTAGACCTGTGGCTCCTTTGGTATCAGGGCGGAGTTACTTTTATGTTATCTGGTCTATCTGTCAATTGTGGGGTGTTGAGTTACTCTAATCATTCTGGGCCCTGAAGGCTGCATTCAGGGTTGAGGGCCAGTAGTAAGTCTGAGGTACGGAGCTGATTTTGAAGCTACACTGGGCTTCCCGGTGGCTCAGTTGGTAAAGAATCTGCCTGCAATGCAGGAGAACTGGGTTCAATCCCTGGGTCGGAAAGATCCCATGGAGAAGGAAATAGCAACCCACTCCAGCATCCTTGGCTGGAAAATCCCATAGACAGAGGAACCTGGTGGGCTTCAGTCCATGGGATTGCAAAGAGTTGGGCACGACTGAGTGACTAACACTTTCATGGAGCTGATTTGAAGCTACATTAGTTCTGGGGATTCTGACACCCACAGTCAGCGACGTGTTCTTCGGAGATGGATGAAAATTTGGTTTAGGGGATTCATAGTCATTGGTGTTTGTGGCCTATCTGATTTCAAGTAGAGTAATCATGGTGGTTTTAGGGTACAGTCTGATGGGGGTACCAGATAAGTTTTGAGGTTCAGATTATATTTGGGGGGACATGAAATTCAATTTTGGGTTTTTATTAGCTTGAGGTGGAACATAATAGGAACCTGGGAGCAAATTTGAAGGCCTTCTGTGATTGTGGGTCCATGCCAGGGAGCAAGGCTTTATATTTGAATGTTGTGCAAGCTTACTTTGAGGAGGGTGATATTTCTGTGTATGCATGAGAGCCAGGAGGCTTTTTCCAGGAGAAAAAACAAGGTGAGGGCTGAGGGTAGGAGACTAAAGTTTTGGGGTGTCCTTATTTTGGGGTATTTTGCCACTCTTTGGTGCATTTGTTGAAGCTGAGTGGTGGATCATGATGTGAGATTGATTTTAGGGTTCACTTAATTTGGACTATGATAATGGTTTGAGATATCCTTTGCTTTTAGCTCCCTCTCACCCTAGACTCTAGAAGTCTCTTTATTGAACCTCCAAATATGCCCAAGATTTGAAGGAAGAAATTTGGAAAGGGAGTGTATCTCTTCTTATTTTTATGTGGCCTGGATAGATCTGAGGGAAAAAAGGTAGTTTCAGATTCTGAACCCCAATTTATTAAGGGTGCACACCTTGACTTAGGGGAAGGTGGGGGGAAGTGGGGTATCTTGTGGTCAGGTGGATACTCCTGACTAGGGCAGTGCTGTTGAAATTGTGGCAAGGAGAGGTGGTGATGAGGTACAAGGAGGTGAATCTTGTACCCTGATTTTCTAGGATGAGAGCCCCAAACAGAAAGCAGACAGAGGACTGGGAGTGTGGGTGAGATGGGGGGGGTTCCCCACGGCAGCAGGGGCTGGGGGGTAAGCCAGGCCAGCTCTGCACACCCTGGTCCCTGCTCTCTTCGGCTCTCCTCCCGTCTCTCCCTCCCACCGCCCACCCCCCCAACCCAAGGAAAAAAAACTGCCTGTGCAACAGCAATGGCAGATTCCAATCCTCCAGGCTTTCCTAAACCACCACGGAGACCAGCCAGGGGGGAGGGGAAGGGAGGATCGGGCTTTCCTGCTTCCCTAAGACTGGGGCTATGAGCTTGACCTCCTGGCCCCTAGCCCTTCGAGGAGTGCCCCCCTCCCCCGGCCTGGAAGCCAGGTGTCCTGGACCCTAGCCCCCGAGCGGGGGGGCCTGGAGAGACGGGAGGAGGAAGGAGGGAGTGACTTCCAAAATTGGCATCGGGACAGAGCAGGGCTGGCGGGAGGCAGGTGAAAGACGGAATTTTCCTGAAAAAACGGGGGGATCTGAGGACCCCAAATTTGGGGAGCTAGTCCAGGACCGTCCTGCCAACATCCTAGATTTTTTTGGGATTTTTTGGGGCCCCCGGGACCCCTCTAGATGGGGTGAGGAATGTAGTGTTGGGGGAATCTGACTGGGGCACTGCAGCTGCCTCTCCCGCCGAGTTGGAGACGGATGGGCTGGGACGGGTTTGGGGGGGGGTGTCCCCAATTCTGACTGGAAGTGGAGGAACCCCCTCCTGTGCTCTCTTGTGGGGGTCCCCCCTCCCTAGGGCACTCCCCACTCCCTGAGCCAGCCGAGAGGAAGGAGGCCAGCGATGCGACTGGGGCGGCTCCTTTCTCCTGCACCCCAAATGTGAGGGATGCACCCCAAATTTTGTTCCCTTCAAAATAGGGGACCAGGATCTCAGGGGAGAGTAGCTGAGGTAAGTGGGGAGGAAAGTGTCCCCTGTTTTCAGGAGAGACGTGGCGGTTGGGGGGGAGGTTTGGAGGTGCGTGCTGGGGTGGGGTTGGGCTTTGTCAGTCTTGAAATTGGGGGGATAATTGAAGAGGCTTTCTCTTACACCCCGAAACTGCAGTCCCCCAGATAGAAACCAAAGACTGAGACCAGAGGGCCCCCCAACATCCCCAGCCGTTAGTATAGTGTTTGATTTCTGTTTCATCCATCCCCACAAAGGCTGTGCCGAGGATGGGAGCTGGGGGCAGCTGTTCAGTTTTGGGGTTATGGAGGGGCGTGTGAGGAGCAGGAAGCCTTGGCAGGATTTGATGTGGGACAGATAGGGGTCTCGTCTGAGGGGGTCTGGCATCCCCCGGGGCCTAAAAAGACTGCTTACACCACCATCTTAGATCTTTTTGATTGCTAAGAGTTTTGGGGGGTGTGTCGGAAGCGGGGGTGGTAAAGGGAGGGTAACTTTTGGGTTTGAGAGGATATTATTTTGATTTGCGGAAGGGATTTTGGCCCTTGGATTTTGCTTTCTGGGGGGTGTTTTTTAAAAATCAAGTCCTGGACAGGAGAAAAAGGCTGAGGGAAGGCCTAGGGTGGGGGTGGGGAGAGGCATGTTTGTCAGCTTAAACGTGGCTTTCTGGGGTGGGCCCGCCTTCCTGGGCCTGGTGAATAGGCTGGTAGGGGTTGTTGCGGGGGGTGGGACTTGGGTCCTGGGGGGCCATGAGGAGTGGGGACAGTCCTGGGGGTTGAATACCTGGCCCCCAGGTCCAGAAGGCGCTCTTCCTGGGCCCTGCTGCTCCCCTTTCCCCCTGGCCTCCATTTCCTGCCTTTGGCCTCCATCTTGTGGCAGGCCCAGGGCCCAGGGCGACTTCCGGCCCCCCTCTCCCCACCATGTTCCGGCCCCACCACCTCTGGACTGCCAACTCCCAACACTGCTGTCCTTGGCCTTCTGTCTTTCCTTGCTTTCTCTTGGGTTCTGACCCAGGGAGGGGAGGAACGGATACAGGAAGCCTTAGGTCCCTGCCCTTGCTGAGTCGAGAGGCAGTCTGTTGGTCCCCCACAGTCATTCCCTATTTCCTCAGATCCCACCCCCCCAAACTAGGGATCCCTTGAGCAGAGTTCCTACAGGGAAGATGGTTCCAGTCTTACTACACTGTAAGCTCACCCCATAGGCCCCTCTCCCTTCAGTTGCCTGCTCAGCTCCTAGCTCGAGTTTCTTGTTTTCCCCAACCCTTCTTGGGGCCATGTTTGCCTTTCAGCCTTCTCTATCTCCCCACCCTTGGTGGTGGGGGGTCTTCACAGCACTGTCTTGTGCTCCCTTTCTCTCAACCCACCCCAGTCCTGCTCCCGCCCCAGCAGCACACTGTGGTTTGTACGGCACTGTGGCCACGTCCAAACCACACTGTGGTGTTAGAGCGAGGGTGGGGGAGGCACCGCTGAGGCTTGGCCCGGGAGGCCACCCTGGAGAAGCGACACAGAAAACATCTGGGGCCTTCTGGTGAGGTGGGAGGTGGGGTGGGGTAGGGCGGGGAATGGGAGGTGTGAAAGCCCTGGAAGCTGCCCCTCTGAAGTCCCCAAGGCAGTCTCAGGAGTACTGGCTGCCAGAGACCCCGGAGTACATGCTGCCTCCACAGAGCAAACTGGAGTCTTTGTTGCCCACGCCCAGCTCCCCTGGCTCTAGCAGCACAGAAATATTGGCACTGGGAAGAGAGCCTGCCAATATTGGCTGTGCTGCTCCAGGCAGGGTGGTGAGAGCTGCCGAGGAGGGGCTAAGCCCCGGGAGCTAAGCAGAGAGTGTCCCCTGTACTCCAGTAATGTCAGGCAGAAAGCACCAGGCTGAGAGGGAGATCTTTATTGTTTTCTGTATAAAAACGTCCATCAGTTGGGGGGGACTCAGGGGTTGGGGTGCAGATGCTCATACAGGAACACCAAGGTGGGCTGCCCCTGGCAGCCTTTCCACCCTGTCGCCTTGCTCAGAGTCCCAAGCGATCCACAGGTCCAGGGTGAACAGTGAGAGGGGTCAGAGGTGGAAGACTCAGCATGAGAGCAGAGGAGGATCAGCGGAGGTCAAGAGAAGGCCAGAATCCAGGGTCAGGCTGTCTGGAACAGGAAGTAAAATGGGCCGAGATGGAGCTAGTCCTAAGTACGACTCCCGCCTACCCAGAGCACCTAGCTCCTTATAGACCTGACCCTGCATGCATAGCAGGGAACTTTCTCTTCCCCAGTTCATGGGAGGGGGCTCCTGCTGAGAACCTCCCCACCATCCCCCATCCCTTCAGCTGTCATGGGAGGAAGAGGACTCCTACCCTGGTCGAAGTTGAGTTTCTTGGCTGGAGGAGTTTCTCCTAGCCCCTCAATATCCACCAGGTCACTGTTGGCGTCCGAGTCGTTCAGAGCACTGAGTGTCACATCTGGGAGTGGGGCACAAGCTAGGTTCTAGGTTCCCGATGGTTCTCCCCCCACCCCACCCACTTCCCAAAGTTTCAACCTTTCCTTCCCTCCCTTCCCCACCCCAGCCAGTTTCTGGAACCTTCACTGGGATAGGAAAAGAGATCTGTCCTCTGACCAAAGCCCAACTCTCTCACTGAACCTCGGATGGGACATCTAATCCCCAGGCAGCAACTCCACAGCCCTCACCAGCCTTCTGTTTCTTTATGGGGGGACCCCCGGCCTCGGGGACACTGGAGCTGCTTGGTGGAGGAGCAGTTGGAGGAGGTGACAATACACCAGATGCCACCTTCTTGGGCCCTTTCTTGGGTGAATCGGCTGGAAGGGGGATACCAGAGTCTTCATATACCTTTCGTTTCACGGTGGCCTTTATCTGAGCCCTAAAGAGACGAGAGAGCAAGTTAGGGAGGGAGTCATAAGAAAGGCTGAGGGAATGGGGGTGGGGGAAGGGGAGATGGGCCACTCTGAAGGAACACTGGGGAGCTCCTTCATAGGAATCCAGGTGAGGGCCTCAACGACCTCTGCTAGTGTTCTTGTTTTCCTGGAAGCTTTGCAGCCAATGAAGGCAAATGGAGCGTGAAGAGTGGAGTCCCTCAACTGAGGAGTGGGAAAGGCCCACCCTCTAATTCTCTTGTGGGAGAGATGTATGGATGTGGAAGGCTACCAGGTAAGCCTGGGTGACCTACAGGTAGATTGAAACTTATTAACAGATCCTGATCGACTAGTTCAGGATCATATCCCTGGAAACACCACAGGAGTATTCAAAAGATCTGTATAAATAACCAGGGAATTCCTATTAGCAAATTCAACTGTTGGGTATCTTAAACTACTAGGCAACCTAAAATTAAATTCATGTAAGGTCCTGATGACCACAGCATTTTAGTAACTTCTGACCAATTGTGACAATTCTTTTATTCTTTCAGTTCTCGAGGGACTCTGTTGCTAACAGAGTAGGAAAGATGTTGAGCTGGAAGGGAGTTTGAGGAAGATGAAACAAATGGGTAGAGAGGAAGAAAGCTGCCCACCGCCCTTTCTCTGCCAGCCAGCCCTCCCTCACACTGTCCGTTCCTTGATGACACAGCTGATGTGATTAAGATCGTCCCCAAATCGCTTCACAGCAGCCCTCAGCATCTCTATCTCCGTCTCCGTCCACTTGGCACTGTCAGAAGGGGAGAGGGGAATAGCGAAAGTGGGAGGAGGAGGGGTGTGGAGCCAGCCCACAGGCTACGCATTCCACAGCAACCAGCCTCCTCCCTGCAATGTCCGGGGCCCCTTCCATAAAGAGGTCCTCTTTAAAAAACAAACAAACAAAAAAAGCAAAAAAATTCTTAAGGCCCTGCGGGAACCCTGAAGACCCTCATCCAAACGATAATGCAACAACCTTAGAAGAAAACCGCTCCCCCCATCAACGTGAAACAGCTGCTGTAAACAGCCCACTGAAATCAATTCAACAAGTGTCGGGGCGGAGGGGGGGGGTGTCTTACAAACAGAACCCCTAAACACAATCTGTTGCAGTCTGACGGAATTCCACATGATTTGGGGTGAATGGGTAGTGGTGGTGGTCTATGCTCTGCCAATGCGCAGCAGGACAGAACTGTGAAATGAGTCCGGATTACGAGCCTCAGTCTGTGGTTGATCTGTCATTCATTCATTCAATAATCATTTATTATGACCTACTCTGCGCTGTGCCAGGCACGAAGGGAAACTAACATCTGTCCCTGCCCTAGAGAGTGTTGGTGTCTGTGATCGAGTCCCAGCGTCTGCATTCAGCGTCCAGGTCCCCAGCCCGGGCTCACGTACCCCGCGGGGGAAGAGTCGGCCACGGGATGCAGCTGCATCGTCAGCTCTCCGAGCTTCGTGAAGGCGGCGCCCGCCGCGGAGAAGATCTCTCCGACCTGGGGGCGGGGCAGCGTTACGGGGGGCCGGCGCACAGCCCCGCGCCGTCCCGCCCGGAGCCCCTAGCCCCACCCCAGGTTGGACTCCCGCCCGCCCCCCGCCCGGGACGGAAGAGCCGCGAGCCAACTGGGGGGCCCGCCCTCCCGTGGCCGCCAGGGAGCGCTGTCCGCGAGAGAGGTCGAACCTTTGTGGACGCTGACGTCATGGCCCCGCGCGCCTCCTCACTGAGACGCCGCCGCCGCCGCTACCTCGGAGCCGGGACCACGAAGAGCCAGGCAGCGCAACGGCTCCGGCCCCCGCGCAGGAAGTCCCGCCCCTTCCCGCAGCTGATTGGCTCCAGCTCGGGCGCTCACCGCCTCACCAGCCCCGGTTACTTAGGCCGCCTCGGCGCGCGGGAAGGAGAGTGGAAGACGCCGCCTCACTTCCGGCCCGGTTTCACTACACTTCCGTCGAGAGGTCGGGATTCCCTATTTGGAGGCCGACCTCTAGCCCTGGTACCCGCCTCCTAATCCAGACACACACACAAGTCTTAAGAGAGCAGTTTCTCTTTATTGTGGAACGGGACGAGGCGAGGGGGCCGGAGGGACAGGGAACGGCCAACCCCAACCTCCCTCCGCAGGAGCCGAGCGCCAGAGGTTGGAGAACAAGGGATTGAGTCTCTCGCCAAGAAAACCTAGTCCGCAGAGGGCACCAGAATGGGGGGCGGGGGGCTGTGACCTGGTGGGGAGAGTCTTTAAATAGAGGAGAGGGCTGGAGAGGGGGAGCGCGCCCGTGCTCTAGCGCACCATGTATTCCTTGCGCTTATTGAGCCGAACTTGACAGAAAGAGAAGCCTCCGAGGAGGAGGTAAAGCCCCGCCGCGATGAAACAGTTGTAGCTGACTTGCTCGTAAAGGTTGTATATGTTCTGGGGGCCGTTCCTAGGGGTGGGGATTAGGCAGAGAAATATCAGAAACATTAACAGCACACATTTACGGAGCACTTACTATGTGCCCTGTACCGTTCTAAACGCTTTAACATGTATTATCTTACTCAATCTTCATAACCCTTTGGGGTGAGTTGTTATAACATCCACTTTGCAGGGGTGGACGGAGGCACAGAGAAGTCCAGTAAAATTCTTAACAGCCACATCTGAAGCGGTGGGTTTAGGATGGTCTCTGACGCCCAAGACTGCTCCTGGGTGCTACAGCACCCAGCTTCCCAGCCTCCGGGCCCCAAGTGTCCAGGCTCCTGCGATTCTCCGCGCCCCACCCTCCGCCCCGCGCCAATTTTGACCACATCCCCCGCCTCTCCACTTACTCAAAATCTTTCTCCGTGAAGGGAACGTCCTCAATTAGCACAGCAGAATGGACATTGAAAAAGATTCCGAGCATTATCTGAAAAAAGAGAAAGGGTAGGTTGTTTTAACTCAGGCATCTGACCTGGTCGCTGCCTGAACTCCTCCCACTTCGAATGTTGCCACAACATCTGGGTCTGGGAATTAACCAGAATGAGCTGGGATTAGGGATGGTTGTTCCCGGATCTGGACTCCGGTCGCCTGGAATAGAGCTTGAATGGTGACACAGAGAAGACGTGTTTGGGGCAAGGGCAGGAATAGTGAGCAACCCAGGAACCCTGATTATCCTCCTCTCTGGAGGCGTCATTATCACGGGACAGGGCGAAGCGGGGGTAGAAGAATCACCACTTCTCCATAATATTTCTCCCTTTAGTGGAGTGGGTAGAGTCCTGAGGAAACAAGGCCCAGCTACCCATTTCGGGAACAAGCGGTCCCTCTCCATACTGCACTCCATTAAGCTCAAGGATCCCTCAAGAACCTAGGTCTCCTTTCTCTTAACCTTGAGGGTACTCCAGATTTACCAGCCCCGGCTCCCATTCCAAGCTCCAGCTTCCCCTCTCCCCTCCAAATTCCCATTTCTCAATGCAGTTCTGTCTCATTCTCCAGAGGCTAATCAACCACCCCCTCCAGCCTGTTTGCTGCTTTTCAAGGCCTGGAGTCTCCTAGCCTTCCAGCCCTCCAACAATGAGGCCCTCAAGCCCTCTCCTCTCCGGTAGTCGCCCTGCAGTCCCCTCACCAACATGATCACTCCCCAGGCGCTGAGGACGATGCCGCAGGCGGCCAGCTTGGGCCCACAGCACAGAAGCGACGCCATGAAGAAAGGAGTCGGGGATCGCCTAGATGTGGGCCAGGTAGGAAATCGGTGAGAGGAAGCCCCTAGGAGCTGGGAAAAGAGAGCTGAAGTTGGGGGCTCAAACTGCGGAGGACGCAGAGCTGGGTGGGAGACCGAGGGGGCGTGGTCTCCGGGCTCAACCATCGGGCCGGGGGGCCCCAGGCGGAGAATGTTGCCGCCTCCGGGTCATCTCGGGACTTCGCGAGGAAGGGCGGTGTTTCTGAAATTAGAGTCCGTATTGACTTGACCACTATGGATCAATAACTGGGGCGCGAGTTTTGTAGGAGCAAAGTCCTCCGGTTTCTTGGCTACCCCCCTCTTCAGTTTGGAATGGGTGGAGCCACGGTGTCACATGACCAAGTTTGTCAAGACACGTGACGAGGAAGAAGTGGTAGCCTGGTCTTGGAACAGAGTTTCTCTCTGGCGGAGCTCCAGGTAAACCTGGCGATGGGCTGTCAGCAGCCAAGGATTGTTATGTCATTTTGGTCTCAGATACCTTAGTCTTGAGTTGTGTCCTGCGATGGGAAAATGGTAATTGAGACAGATTTACACCGAGAGAACACCTCTGTCTCCTCTCTACTCATCCCTACTCTTTGAAATAGACACTCTGACACGGTAGAAGGAGATGGCAACCCCTTCCCGAGCCCAGGCGTGCTGTCGTGGTTAGAACGCTTTAAAATTGCTGAGAGTTCTTGGCATTGGAAATCCTTAAGTAACATTTTGTTACCAAACATGGAAAACTAAAGAGTTTTGGATACCAAATCCAGGAAAAATAAGGGCGTTAGGAAAAGTCCAGGGAAAGCGGACTCAATGAACAAACTGTTAAGGTGAGTGGCCCTGCCAAATGTGCTGGAGAAGGCAATAAGTGAACAGAAATGTCACTTTTCTTCTTTACTGTAAACTGAGAAAACGGAACTTTGGGCAAGATAGAGTCCAAAATTTTAAAGATATGAGTAGATTATATACCTTCCAAAGAAAAATTTTGTATACCTCACTGGTGAAAAACAGATGTATAAACATTATTCAGGGAAATAGTGGTGTTTGAAGAACATAATTTTTCACTGAGTTTTTTGTACCTTTTCTAGTGAGGACAGTGGTCATAGTATAATTGAGAGGGGTCATTTTGATCCCAAGACCCCAGAACCAGACAGACACTGCCAGTGGTTAGCATAACTTTGTGTTATTTTCCCCTTTATTTTGTACATATTATTGTTCTTTAAAGGATCCTGAAAGAGAACTTGGAACCTGGGAAACACTTAGAGACCCCAGGGCACTGAAGCTCCTGGGAAAGTGAGCTTCAGACATGTATCTTGTGTCTCTTTTGTTTGATACCACCTGGAAGGAGAGCATTTTGGAGTGAAAGTTTTTCTTTTGCCTTAGAAGCACCATTCTCATTTAGGACTTTGGGGTAGGTGTATGAATAGGATAAACAGGGATGGAGGGAAAGCTGCCAAGGTAGAGTCAGGAGTTTTTAAGTTGGCCGTCAAGCGTGAAGTCAAGCTTCTGGGGAAGGAGGATGAGTTGAGGTTGTGGATTTCTCCAAGAAATCGTCCTGGCCCTCCCCGCCCCCCAGCATTCTCTGGATGTTTCTCAGGTAAGGTCAGTGCCTCAGGCTGCTGCAGGGGCACCCTGGTGTAGGTGCTGCCCCTGAGGGCGAAAATCCACAGGGTCTTCTTGTTTTTTGCATTTTAAATGGTTGACTAAACTGAACAGAGAATATTTTGTGACACAAGTTCATATTTCACTGTCCATAAATAAAGTTTTATTGGAACATAATCACATTCATTTACACGTTGCCTGTGGCTGCTTTTGTGCTACAACAGGAGAGTTGAATAGCTGTGACAAGAGTCAGTGTGGCCTCCAAAGCCTAACATATTATCAGACCCTTTCCTTAGGGGCTTCCCAGGTGGTGCAGTGGTAAAGAATCCAACTGCCAGTGCAGGAGAGACAGGTTTGATCCCTGTATTGAGAAGATCCCCTGGAATAGGAAATGGCGACCCATTCCAGTATTCTTGCCTGGAGAATCCCATGGACAGAGGGGCAGGCTGCAGTCCATAGGGGTTGCATAAGAGTTGGACATGACTGAGCGACTCAGCATGCATGCCTACAAAGGCCCTTGGGCTCATAGGATACAGACGTAGGTGGTTTAATTGGGAAAAGAAATAACCCCAGCAGCAGGATGAATTTGAGCATACTCTGGGAGATAATGGAGGACAGAGGAGCCTGGTGTGCTACAGTCCAGGGGGTTGCAAAGTGTCAGACATGACTTAGCAACTGAACAGCAACATAGCAGAGACTTTAGGAAACGGTGAAACTCAAGATGGAATTGTCAGCCCCAGAGCTGATCTGCAGTCTTCCCATGGCAGGAGGTGCCCAAGAGCTCAAATAGTGATGCTGTTCTCTATGTGGCTGGGCTTTAGGTATTCATAAGGCAGGTCAAGTTGCTCATTGCGGGCTGTAATTTCCCTTTCCAAGTTTTCCAGATCTGTTTGGAATTGGTTTAGTACAGACTTGGCCTTGGGGTCTGAGAAATACTTTTCTTTGTGATGCCCCAGAGGCACCTAAGAAAGAATAAAGGATCAGTCAGTTTTGAGTTCAAAGGCAGACACACCTAGAGCCTTGCCCTTCACTCTGCTGTTCCCTTCCAACTGTCATTTCCATTTCCCCAGAGTCCTCTCTTACCATGTCTGGCTGGCGGCGACCCAGATGCCATGTGATGGCCATTTGAAGACAGGCTTGTCGGACATCAGGTAGTGAGCCCATCATTGTGGCCATTGTCACATCTTCCTTGGTGGTGGGTGGGGGCATCCGCATCGTGCATGGCGCATTAGGGACCCAGGCATACCAGTCCAGCTGGGGGAAGAAACTGCAACCCTAGGATCCTAGTACTTAGGGTTTGAACCCCATCTCTCCCATGGGTATCCCAAGTCCAGACACTTGCCTTCAGGGATCTGGGCTTTCAGTGCTCCATACCTGGCCCTGGTTGATGGCCCCATGCTGAGCAGTACACGTGAAGACACACATGGTAAGGAAATGGCAGAGTTGATTCTGGGACTGGAAGGAGACAGGGAAACCTGGGCAGAAACGGAACAGGATTTAGAGGCTACAGTCTGAGAGAAGAGAAATAAAGGCTGATGTCTTTGAATGTCTACATTTTGGAATTGGAATTGTTTAGTTCATTTGTTCAAATATATTTGCATCAGATGTGGGCTTCAACTAAGACTCAAGTAATACAGTTGGGTTACTTAAGCTCTCTGAACCTCAATTTCTGACCTGTAAAATGAGAGTGATACCTACTTTATAAATGAGTTAATCACCTGATATGGAACAAGTGTTCCAATAAGCAATTATTGTTATTTTGAAAGGGTGGGGGGCTGAAAAGGTTTGAGTGATCAGAAACCCTTTGCCTCAAAAAGTAGTTGAGAATTTAGGGATGTTTCCTCCTGTTTGCAGACAGGGAATTGCAGGTGTCTAATTTATAATGTGAAGGATAAGCAAAGTTATAGATTTACAATGTCACAGGCAAGAGAGGCTTTCTGCAAAGATTATGTTCAAGCCACTCAATTTACAGTGGAGGTGGGGGCTCAGAGACCCAGTAATCCTGTCAGTTAAGGTGAACAAATGTAATCACTCCCTTTTTATAGATTAAAAAAAATCAAAGACTAAAGAGATTAAACTGCTTCTAGAGCTTTCCTGGTGGCTCAGTGATAAAGAATCCACCTGCTGATGCAGATGTGGGTTCATGGGTTTAGTTCACTGGGTGGGGAAGATCCCATGGTGGAGAAAATGTCAACCCGCTCCAGTATCCTTGCTTGGGGAATCCCATGGACAGAGGAGCCTGGTGAGCTACAGTCTAGGCCGTCTCATAAGAGTTGGACACTACTGAGCAGCTAAACAAACAACAGGACTGTGGTAATTGGGAAAAGGTAGAGGCTGACCTTGAGCTCGGGTTCCTAACTGCTAATCTCAGGTTTGTTTTTATTTTAGCACATTTTCCCCTAAAAAGTCTGTTGAGAAAATGAGGCAAAGGTGGGCTGTGAGAACTGAGGGAGAGTGGATGAAGAGAGAATGAGAAGCACTTACTGGACAGGCTGAAGTTTACATGTGGATGTTTATTTTCATTTTCCAAATGTAGGTGATGGTTAGGGAAAAGATGGCCAAGGAGAGGAGGAGGGGTCTCCTGGGAGCCTGTGGAGCCCAGGGGACAGACTCAGATGTACTAGAGAAGTTTGGTCCTGGAAGGGGCGTGGTGCAGCCACTGATGCCCCAGAGGGACGCTCCCTCTTGAGGGCGAGTGTTAGGCTAGTGCTCACAGCACCCCCAGAGGCTGGCCATAGCTGCTCCCCAGTAAATATCTGTAGTTGCTCCACAGAGGCAGAGATATCGGTGTGAAATGTGAGGGACAGGGACAGAAGGAAGAATTGGAGCAGGCCATGCTGGCCTGTGTATGTTAGAGAGAGGAGGAGGAAGCCAGGAAGAACTGAGAAAGGCTGCTTCTTCCCCAGAGGGTAGAATGCCAGTGGGGGTGCTGAAGGTAGTGACTTGATTGTGGGGGAGGCTAGATTGGCCAAAGCGAAATGAGCTCCAAGGGGGCACTGGCTTCAGGGTTGAGCCAAAGCCTGGAGAGCATTGTGTCTACATCTAGAAATGACCTTGTACTGTGGTCATGGTGCAGTGGGCCTGGACTTTCTCTGTATGTGCTGGACAGTGGGAAGCAGGAGAAGAAGAGGGAAAACAGAAGGGGTCATCATGGACTTCGGTGGAAAGCTCTTCCCATTTATATTCTCAGGAAGGAACAGATAGCCATGAGGAGAGAACGTGAGCCCCAGCGGGGCCTGGGAAGATCCCCCACCGTTCCTGGGGGGTGCCATGCTGTGGCAGGTTAGGGGAGGGGATGGAAGTGAAGGATGATGGCCAGGGTCTCTGAGGAGGCTGATCCCTGGGCATTGGGAATTGTCCTGAGTCTTAGGAGGTGGGAATGGTATTCAGATGTTTGAAGTGTGGAGGGCGGGGGGTGTGATGGACAGGTGGGGTTCTGAACTCAGTGTCTGAGGAGCTCCCATCTCTGGGAGGGATCTCACCTCGCTCCTGGGCCTGGCGCAGCCCCACCTCAGTGATCTCCCGACACCAGGCCTGCAGCTCAGTGTCCCCTTTCACAACATCATCCCCGCGGTAGAAGAGGTGGACGATCCCCTCCACATACCTGCCCCGGGGAGAAGGGAGGTGAGCTCCTCAAGAGGAGAATGCTCTGGCCTCTGACCTCTACACTTTTCCATGGTCTCTGGCCAGCTGACTGTTGCTGTGTCTGAGTATAGCGTCTTCTAGGCCTGCCTTTTGGGTCACTCCTAGCTGTTTCTACAAACTAGCCTAGAGAGGAAGGACACGTGGGTCCTTAGTTCTGGGCATTCCCAGACATTATTGACAGCCTTTCTTCCTAACAAAACCGCTGATTTGTCCAGATCCCTCAGCTGCATCCACAACTTTGCCAACCTATGCTCTCTGTCCCCAGGCTGCTCCTCAGACCCCAACCACTGACTCCTCACTCTTCCTCATTTCTCCCCAGGATCCCTTCCTCTGCTTCTCCTGTCTGGACCTTCTTGTTTTCATGTTCCTTCTGCCCCATGCTGACCTTGGGACCAGAGCCCCACTCGCCTTCTCTCCCCCTCACCCCCCACCCCTGACTCATTTCTTGGCTTCCCCCTCACCCACCGGGCAGTGATTTCCCAGAGCCGTAAAGCATCACGGGCATAGAGAGCACCCGGGGTTCCTAGCAGGCGGCGATCAGCCAGATCATCAAGAGGACAGAGGGAGCGGTAGGTCAGCTGAGCCAGGGCCCGGCGGAGCAAGTGCACATGGCCCCCTCCACCGGTGCTCACTGCCTGGAACAAGAGAGATGCAAGGCCTTGAGGAAGAAGCCAGTGCACAGTATACAAGGGGTTCTCAGATGTGGGGTTTTCACATTTAGAAACATGGATATAAAGGGCTCATAGGTTTTAAGGGTCAGGGCATTCATCCAGGTTGGTCTGGGATCTTGAAAGCAGCAAGAGATGGTAGAAAGTTGGTCAGTGATGCAGCCCCACTCACTTTATCAAATATGCCTCCGTCTGAGATGAGCTGAGTCCGTGCCCGGGTGTTGATTTCCATTGTGTAGCGGATGTGTGGCATCAGGAGCTAGGATAGGGGAGAACAGAGGGGGTCGATTATGGGGGACATGCTCAGGTCCTTCCTTGTAGGCAGCATGATGGCCTTCTCTCCTCTTGACGCTTTCCTCCCTTGACAGGCTGGTCTCTTCCCGTTTCCATGATCACAGCATCTCATGATCTTGTCACCTCTGTGAGTCGTCATTCTCTCCAGCCACAGTGACCTGGGTTTCACTTCAACAGTCACTTTATATTTATCCAAGGTACAGGACCCTCTAAATGTTGACCTTTCTCATCTCCTATCCTCATGTGACAACAGCAGGTGATTATAGGGTCTTTTGTCTTTTGTCTCAGGAGGCTGCAGTGATGCTTACATGAGTGATGCCCTTGAGTAGCAGCTGTTATTTATCTTGATGATTTCTACCTGGAGTGTAGGTGGCCTTTGAGAATCAGCACCTTTTGGTTTGCTTTTACTTTTTTTCTTCCCCCCTTTGGCTGTGGGGCATGTGGAATCTTAGTTCCCTGACCAGAGATCAAACCTGCAGCCCGTGCATTATAAGCATGGAGTCTTAACCACTGGACCACCAGGGTCCCTAATTTGCTTTCTTTTTTTTTTTTTTTAATACTACACATTTATTAGAAAGGTCAAAAGTTTAAAGAGACTAAACATATTGGCAAGGATATGGAAGCATTGGAAGTCCCAGACTCTTCTGGTAGGAATACAAGAGAAAACAACCATTTTAAATCATAATATGTGCTGATGTGCTCAGTCACATAGTCGGGTCTAACTCTTTTCGACCCCATGGACTGTAGCCCACCTGGCCCCTCTGTCCATGGGATTTTCCAGGCAAGAATACTGGAGTGGGTTGCCATTTCCTACTCCAGGGCTGATTTCCTTTTATACTCTGTCATCCTCACAGCTTAAATTAGTCTCTCTACTCATTCCCAAAGTCACACCTCCATCCCCTGGTTGCTTCATTGTCAGGTTTTGAGGGGTAGGGTTGGGTACCTTCAATGAGGAGGAGCCATACTGTGCCACCTGTGTAAGTAGCAGAGGTGAAGTGAAAGTCGCTCAGTCATGTCTGACTCTGCAACCTCACGGACTATACAGTCCATGGAATTCTCCAGGCCAGAATACTGGAGTGGGTCGCTGTTCCCTTCTCCACAGGGTCTTCCCAACCCAGGAATTGAACGCAGGTCTCCTGCATTGCAGGCGGATTCTTTCCCAGCTGAGCCACCGCAGCAGCAGAGAGGCTGTCATCAAATCTCCTCCCACCCCAAATTAGGCAGTTAGACTCCCTCTATTTTGCAAGCTTTTCAAGAAATAGCTTTCCCTTAGCTATTAAAAAAGGCCATCTGATCTTCCATGCATTTCTTTGTATCTCAGACTATTTTGTTTTCATTTCCACCCAGTTCATGTACAGATTTCACAAAGGGTTGGTACTTATCTAAGTAGTTGTTGCTGGAGACAGAATGAGCCAGAGAGAACTATGGGGTCAGAAGGTCAAAGCAGCTCACATTGACTGAAACTTCAGAAAGTTCATGAAAGTTGCTGAGTGTCATAGAAAGCCCAACATCCACTTGAGAGGAGAAGCCTGAGGACAAACAACTCTTAATAATAATCGGGACCTCCTTAATGGTCCAATGGTTAGCAATCCGCCTGCCAATTCGGGGGACACTGGTTCAATCCCTGGTCCAAGAACTAAGATCCTACATGCCAGGGGGACAACTAAGCCATATGCCAACTACTGAGCCTGAGCTCTAGAGCCCACAAGCTGCAACTACTGAAGCCCATTGGCCCTAGAGCCCACAACGAGAAGCCACTGCAGTGAGAAGCCCACGCACCATAACTAGAAAGTAGCCCCTGCTCACCACAACTAGAGAGCCTGTGCAGCAATGAAGACCCAGCACAGCACCCCCCCCCCAAAAAAGGTGGCAATAATAAAAATTGCAAGAACTAATTTTTTTTTTTTTAGCTTTTAGCCTGTGTCATGCTATTAGGTCATTTTATCCTGTAGCAGCCCCACAATGGTGTTCCTTTCATCCCCTTTGAGACATGAGGACACTGAGCTCACACCTGTACAGAGGTTAGGACTCAGGATTCAGGCCTTGGCAGTCTGAATCCAGAGCCTGCACAGATCACCTCTGGGACATTGGCTGGCTTGGCTCTCCTGTGTGTGCTGATAACAGTGCAGCTCTTTGACATGTTTCTCTGGGAGTGGAGACAGGTGGGCACAGGGCTCAACTCGTAAATGGGGGATATTTTCAGTGTGAATAGAGGCTTAGCCTATCCAAGGTGAGCAGAAGATAGTGGTGTAGGAGCACCACGAGATGAGTAAAACCCAAGATTCTGCTCATTACACTGGACTCCATCTTGTCGATGCCACCCCAGCTTCCGGAGAGGCCACAGCTACTACTGGCCAGGCTTTAAGGGACCTGGCAGGCCCCCAGCTGAAGTACAGTTCAGTCCTTCTCCCTGCCAGGTGCTCACCTGTGTGTCCTGCTAACACTTCCGATTCCATGAACCTCAAACTGAATCTCATCTTTGCTTCCCAGCTGGCTTCTTTCCCATCTTCCTGTTTCTGACAGTTGCTCTTGTTCATATGCCTGTTTCGTATGCATATGTTCATATGCAGTTTCGTCCCTTTTGCCTTGTTCCCTATATCTAAGATGTCATCAAGATTTTGAGGACATTTTTAAGCAAGCATAAGTCTTATGTTGCTGCTGTCAGCTGATCAGTAGATGCTGAGCTCACTCTTTTATAAAATTATAGGATTTCTAGGTCAGTCTCCCACACCCACCCTTGGGCTCCTGAGTGTTGTAGCTTAGACCTCTGACTTTTCTGGCTCTGGTCTGATACCCAGGCTTGCTGCAGCTACTGTTCCTTCTCTTCCCCAAGCCTGATGATGATTATTTTTTTAGCTGAGCCATGTGGCATGTGGGGTCTTAATTCCCAGACCAGAGATCACACCTGTACCCCCTGCAGTGGAAGTGTGGTGTCTTAACCAGTGGATGGCCAGGGAAGTCCCTGATTTTTTTTTTTTTTTAATTCTTGTCACCACCTTGCCAACACGTGTGTTTCTCCATTTCTCTCCTGGGCTGGAATAAGCACCCTGTTGGCCTCTCTCCTCGCCTCTTGCTCTGTTCCTACTTAGCACTCTCAGTTGGGGTGGAACATTCTCCATCAGTATTCTAGTGTTTACCAGCTGTCTTGTGATTTCAAATTCTAGGTCCAGGTATTGTTCTCTGGGTAGTTCTTATGGGCACCATGTGTCTTTCTGGCTAAATCGTAAATCTACTAAGGCAGGAACAAGGCTTTTGGTTTACTGGCAATATTCTGGCTATACTTTCGGCCCATTGCTAGATTGTCAGATCTGAGAATTTCAGAGGGTTCCTTTGTAATATGTCCTGAAGAAATGTTAAGTGACTCAATTAAAATACAAGTCTCAAAATATTGATAGTCTTTCTTTCTTCTGTTCTCCCTTCTTTTACAAAGTGATAAAATTTTTTTTGCTGCTATAATATCATATGATGGGGCTTCCCAGGTCGTGCTAGTGATAAAGAACCTGCCTGCCAGTGCAGGAGATGTAAAAGTCCTGGTTTGATCCCTGGTTCAGGAAAATCCCCCCAAGGAGGGCATGGCAACCCACTCCAGTATTCTTGCCCAGAGAAATCCCATGGACAGAGGAGCCTGGCAGGCTATAGTCCATAGGGCCGCAAAGAGTCAGAAACGACTGAAGCAACTTAGCATGCACACATGCAGTGTCATAGGATATTGGCCTCTTTCCTTTCTCTGGGGTCTGAATGAAGTAGGACATGGAGGGTAGAGGTGGTACCTTGAAGATAGGGTGCAGCCCTGGGAGGCACCTCATGGTGGCCACAGCGATGACCTCAGCCAGCAGATGGGTGTTAAGCAGATGGTATTGGAGCTGATGCAGTTGGAAATCTGAATTTCGGACCCAGGTCTTTGCCAGGAGCCAGGCAAGTGGAGGATCTGAGGGCAGGAACAGTGGTGGGGTCGGGGAGATGGAGCTGGGAGGCTGGATCTGGGAAAAAGAAATCAAGGCTTCATTGAATTCCCACTTTATGTGTGACCTTATGGTCAGCCATCTCGGGGAAACAGATGAGTAAGTACGATTATTGCCATTCAGGAGGTTGTAATCTAGAGGATTAAGAGGAGGAAGAATGAGGCCCCTTCCACCCTTCCTCTCACTGCTGTGGCACTGTGCACCCATCATGGTCTTCGGGGTGAGTGCAGGGGATTTGAAGCAGGGAGTCCAGTGAGGAGGTCCTGATGGTGGTTTGGGAGAAATGTGATGGGGGTCTGAGTTATGGTGGGGGATGGAAGGGGAAGCTGGGTGTATGAGATAATTGACAGGGTTTGTTAAACTGACTGTTGAGAACAGTGGGAGAAAAGAGAGTGGACTGAGGGGTTAATTAGTGACTCTTAAAATGTGTTCCCAATCTCGAAGCATCCACGTCACTTTGGAACCTAGAAAAGCAAATTCTCAGTCCCCATCCCAAATGGACTGAAACAGAACATCTCAGGCTGGGACCCAGCAAACTGTGTTTTCACAAGCCCTCTAGGTCATTCTGAGGCACAGTACAGTTCGAGAACCACTGGGTATAGGATGAGAACTCCAAAAGGTCATTATGACTCTTGAACAAGTCCTTCCAGTTGGGCGAGTCAGGAGAAACTAGGCTGTAAGCAGAGTGACATGAGGACAGGTCTCACTGTGTGAGGATGGAGCTTGAGAGCCAAGAACCAGGGGGCTGGGTCCTCAAGTGCAGAGGTGGAGGTGAACAGCAGCAAAGTTGGGAGGGGGTGCCTGGGGCACCTCACCTGGATGACCATGGGTAGCAGCTTCCCACTGGGGTCCATCTTGAGCATGACGAGGGGGGCAGCCAGGTACTGCTTCTCTCCTCGGATCACGTTGGCTGGAATTCCGTCCAGGAGGATGAAATCAGCCTCAAACAAAGAACCATTCTGGGGAAAGGAGGAATGTATCCATCCTTTGAGTTTAAAGTCTAACCCAAGAGGGCAGGGGCAAAGGGGGAAGACATTTTAAGATATTTATCTTGATTCTTGCCATCATCCTGTGTCAGTTATGGAGTCTTATTGGCAGAACCAGAGCATCTGGCCTGATTCCTCTCATTTTAAGTGACAAACAGCCTAGTGAAGGTAGGCGTCTTGTGCAGGTCCGATTTCAGAACAGGCCTGCCCAGTCCAGTGTGCACGCTGGCCCCTTGTCCAGATGGCCAGGCCTCTACCCCACCATCCTGCAGTGATGATCTCCCTGTGTTCAGCTGTCACCAGCTCAGCAAACGCTCTTTCACTCCAAAACTCACCTCCTCTGTCAAGGAATCTGCAGAGGTTGCCCTGCCAGCACTACCGCCTAGTCCAGAGCACACATGCCTGTGACATGCTCACATGTGGCCTAGCTCATCGTCCTCACATGCAGCTCACCTCCTCCAAACCCAAGCAACCTCCACAGTTCTCCCCTCCTGATGGCACATTTTCCATCTTTCTTCCTCCC